TCCAGTGCTTTAGACAAAACATTCAGATTACTATCAGCTATGTTCTTTTGATTGACATAAATTGCTTCTTTTAAATATCAGGATACACTTCCTACATTTTTATTATCCTAGAATTTTATTAACTTAGTTATAAACTTAGTTAACATTACCGATATCATTGCTGATTTCTCTGAATAATTTGGCCATAATTCTCAGTTTTTCATTATTGTAAATAAATAAATTTCATATATTATATATGTACATATATATTTATAATTAATGTAATTAAGGAACTTTAGAGGTTGATAAATTCCTGGCAGAATGTGGGGAGGTTAACATGCCTTGAGGATGACAGTATGAAAGGATATTTTCTGTCATTGACTACGCTTTCTGAACACAAACTATATCTGTCTCTACTTTTTTTTTGAAGATTTATTTATTTATGCATACAACAGGTGGGGTACAGGCCAGAGATGCGGGGGGGGGGGTGAGAGTATTCATCAGAGACAAGAGTGTGAAACAGAGCAGGCAAATTGACTGAAGTACACAGCTGAGGGGAGCAGCAGTCGAGTCAGGAGAGGTCTGCTGAGCCATGTGGGTTGCTCTCTGGCTGGCCAGGAATAGAACTCCTGCTGCAGTGGCTACAGATAGCTTCATATGTTGCATTTTAACCCTTGCACTGCCAGGGAGGTCCATCTGTCTCTACTTCTAACTTATCAGATCCCTTCAGCCTTCAAATTTGATGGCCATTGCTACCTCTCTATTGAAGCTGTTACAGCCATGTTCACCAGCTGATGTCATTTTATCATGTCAAATCATGTTTTCTTGGTTCTCTGTAGCCTGACCTTTCTATAACTTTTTATATTATTGAATGGGAAACTTTTTTTTTTTAAGCTCAGTTGAATCTTTGATTACATGGGCCCAGTTTTCAACTTCTTTTAGAACTTCTCATTATCTGATTTCTTTTCCTATTTAATATCCTCTTCAGGCCCCCTGACATTTATCCCTTAGGGCATAGTGCTTGACTGAGCTTTATTTAAATAGGCACCTTTGAGGAATTTAAGTTTTCTAATCATTTAACCATCACATCTTTGTGAACCACCTCAACTCAACTCAGATGTCCTGTCTTCCACTCATTTGTTTATTCATCCATGAGATTTGTACTGAATGCTTACGATGTGATAGGCACTAAATAAATAAATAAATTGGGTTCCTCAAGACTTCAGAAAAATAAAACTCATAACCCTCAAAAGTCTAGTGTCCAAGTTTCCTTAAGTAGAAAACATGATGTCATCTTTTGATGAGTCTCTTTCTTCAATCTCTACAGTCATTGTTTTGATAGCTGTCATTTATTTATTAAAAAGTGCATTTTGAGTCATTTGTTCTTAAGGGTATCAGCATAATCCAATTGTCTTATCTTTTACACAGGGATATAATTTCAGCTTCTTAAATGGTCCTCTGATTATTTTCTTTTTCTTTTCTTTTTTTTTTTTTTTTTTGTGGGACCCTCGCTGGTGGCCGGGGATAGAGCCGGTGCTGCAGGGGCTGCGGGCAGCCTCGCAACCCAGCGCTCAACCACTGCACCACCAGGGAAGGCCCCCTTTCATTATTTTCTTCAACCTATGTAGAAAAAACATTTTTAGCATGTCACTTCTACTGTTCATAAACACAAGCCCAAATATTTCCAGCTAGGTTTTGAAGCTTAGACATACCATAATCTAGACTTACCATATTCTCTAAACATGAGCACTTCCTTATAGTTAGAAAGATTCTTCCCCACAGACATGTATTATTTTTTACTTCTATGTTTTTGTTTTTGGTAATACTGCTTCCTTATTCTGTGCTTTAGTTTTTCTTGGTTTATATTCATCCTTCCAAAAGGAATTGTAAGCTCTCGAAACTAGTATCTATTTCTAGTTATTGTTGTTAAATGTTATCAGTTTCAAAATGTGCTTTTTGGGCCTCCCCTGGTGGCGCAGCGGTTGAGCGCTGGGCTGTGAAGCTGCCCGCAGCCTCTGGAGCGCCGGTTCGATCCCCGGCCACCGGCGAGGGTCCCACATGGCATGCAGACCTCTCCTGCCGCGCTCACTGCTCCCCTCAGCAGTGTATTTCGTCAGTCTGCCTGTTCTGTTCCCCACTCTGGCTCTGGTGAATTCTCTCACCCTTCCACGCTTCTGACTGTACCCAGTGCTTGTATGAATAAATAAATAAATCTTTAAAAAAAAAAAAAAAACAAAATGTGCTTTTTAAAATACTGTTTACTTCCTTGAAATCAAAATGCCTGATTTTATAATGCTTCATCTTGTAATCAATGATGTCTTAAACACTACAATGATTTAAATAGCAATATTTCTTCTCTCCTGAAAGTGCATAAAATGATGGTGTGTCTCATAATCAATGGTATTTTAAATTCAATAAAATACCACTTTGGGGGTAACTTCACAGCCCTTAATGGAATATTAAGCTCGTAGCAGATATTCCATGAGTGCTTATTGTTTGATTTATTTCCTGGTTATATAGTATCGAACCAGAGAAATGGCTGTAATAAAGATAACATGTTACTAATTGCAAATTTTTTTTAAAGATTTATTTATTTATTTATACAAACACTGGGTACAGTCAGAAACGCGGGAGGGTGAGAGAATTCACCAGAGCCAGAGCAGGAAACAGAACACGCAGATGGACCGAAACACACTGCTGAGGGGAGCAGCGGGCGGGGCAGAAGAGGTCTGTGCACTATGTGGGACCCTCCCTGGCTGGGGATCGAACTGGCGCTGTAGAGGCTGCGGGCAGCTTTGCAGCCCAGCACTCAACCGCCGTGCCACCAGGGGAGGTCCTGTACCCCACTTCTTGTATACATAAATAAATAAATCTTAAATAAAAAAGAACTAGAATGGTCTATCAGAGTTGTCTCAGTTGGGCTAAGATGGCCAGAACTTTATGCTTCTTCTCTGATCAGTCATGGATGTGCTCTGTCCTTTGCAGGTTGCAATTGAGGTAGTTCCTGAGGAATTGTTATAAGTCAAACAATAGCATTCCCATACAATAAGCATCGTTGAAAGAAGATCTGGGAAGCACAACAAGGAATATACCACTCCTCTACCCTGTTACATTCAGTGACTTCCTACCTCACTCAGAATACAATCTAAACTCTTCACAATTTCTCTCCGACCTCATTTTCTACTACCTCATCTTCTATTACCTTCTACTATCATCTTCACCCCCTAAAGCCACATTCATGACATGGAAGCTTCTTGAACCTCATCAACCTCTCACCACTATACTCCTTTCTCAACACTTATTCATTCTGCCTGCAAAGTTCTTCCTTCATATATCTTTAGGGCTGGCTTCTGTACCTTACTCAAGACTCTGTTCAAATCTCACTTTGTAAGAAGGATCTTTATTCACTGATGCATAGAAAATAGCATACTGCCCTTCACACTTTTAGTTCACTTAATTTGTCTTTATAGCACTTTAATTATGACCTAACATGGCTATTTATTTATTATTTGCCCATCTACTTCCTTCACTTGGGTATGAACTCCATAGAAGAAGAGACTTCGTTTTCATTTATTGTTGCATCCATTCCAGTGACTACAACAATGTCTGGCACATAGTAGATGTTCAATAAATATTTATTAACTACCATTATCTTTGGGGAAGGGCATTGCAGTGAAACAAATCTAGGTTTTACTTATGATTGCTAATTTATGAGCTATGAAATGTAGGTTATTTGTTCTCTCTCCATCTGAGTTTCCTTAGTTATAAAATGCAAATGATTATAATACTATATACATAACAGGCTTTTGATAAGATCAAATGGAATAATGTGTGTAATGCATCATTTAGCATATGATGGATAACAGTGATAATCTGAAAATTGCATATAAGCACAGTACCTAGCACGTAGTAAATGCTCAATAGTTGGCAGTTAATTTTTGGATCAATTTACGATAAAATATGGAATGGCTTGGAGTTAGTTTTTTGTTAAGAACACTTGATTGATTAAACGGTGTGAACAGTTTCTTCCGTTCTTCATTTTTGAGTATTCTGTTGACAACTTAGGCTGATATCTCATTCTTTTCAACAGAGGTTTGGTTTATTTTAATTTTACTTCAGGAAGATTCAACAACAAAATTTTAAATAGGTGGTAATGGAGAAAAAGTTTCATTAAGTACAACGCCTGCACTTTATATATGTATTTACACATTGTGTATAAATCCATGTAAAATTACATTTCAATAGGGGTAAAGAAAATTCCTAAAAGAGTAGTAATTCCTTTCGCAAAACAAATCATCCGTTTGTAATCAGAATCATCTTTCAATGATGGATCTACTTCGTACATTTGGATGTTTACATACTCCATTTTCTGAAACTGTTTAAAGTGTATATTTACTGCATAAAGGTTTCTTCAGCAGTTTTACTGATGTTAAACATGTAGGAGGGAAGAAAATGCATGTTTTAAGCTCTTGTCGAACGAATACTGTCAATACAAAAGAAAAAAGCTTTTGTATGTTTCATTTAAATTACCTCATAAGCATATACAAGTTTTTTTTTTTTTCCTAGTAAACATTTCTCTTGGCAACAACAGCAAAAGAGAGCATGCAAGACATAGAAAGCGAGAAGTAATTTACAAGCTCCCCTTTAGGCCCTCCGGATTAGCCCATAAACAGGCGGGCAGAAAAATCTTGGCAGATTAGGAAGGTTCGCACCGGGACTCGCTGTAGTATTAAAGCAGGAGTGACCTCCCCTGCAAGCCCCCAGGTCAGCGCAGATCGTTCATGGTTTCTATTACAGGGTCACCAATCAAATACACCCAGAAAGCAGCACCCCTTTTTCCAACCATATGTTATATTTTGCCATTGCGCGTAATACAGTCAGCTCTAAACAGCAACGACATGAAAACCCTCCCCGGAGCCCTTCCAGTCTGCGAAATCACCACCAATTTTCGGCTGACCGGAAGGAAGAACAGCATCCAATCGGAGCCCGTTTCTCAAAGGCCAATCAAAGCTCTCCTTACATTGCGGCCCTGGGGAAAGCCTAGCTGGACCTTTCGGCCTCCCGGCGGGTGGCTTCTGCTATCACCTGGAGGGGGTGCATCCCAGGCGCGGTACTGGTTTCCTGAACCGGTAGAGGCGAGCAGCTTGCTGGGGGGGTTTGCCCGTATTTGTTCCCAGCCGCTTCTCATGTGATGCACTCCCTTAACCAGGAAATTAAAGCGTTCTCCCGGAATGATCTCAGGAAGCAATGCACCAGGGTGACAACACTAACTGGAAAGAAAATTGTAGAAACCTGGAAAGATGCCAGAATTCATATTGTGGAAGAAGTAGAGCCGAGCAGTGGGGGAGGTTGTGGTTATGTGCAGGACTTTAGTTTGGACTTACAGGTTGGCGTTATTAAGCCATGGTTGCTCCTGGGTGAGTATATCTCTTTGCCCCTAAATCATCGAGTCCTTTTAACTGTATTTGCGTTCGCGTTGCCCCCCTCTTCACCCTTGCCCCACCTGTGTAATAGTCTGTGCTATTAGCTATTCTACCAGAAAGTTGCAGTGGTTCCTGTTTTGGATATGGAACGTCCAGTAGCTAGCTGGAGATGTGTCTGCTCCCCTGTATCCATAAGAAACACATTCTAATAGTACATAGCATCTGGTATTTGAATTTTAGAAGAGGTTCCTTGTTTTTCAAACTTCTCCGGAGGGTAAGGCATTTTCTTGGATTATAAAGAAAGATCATCAAATTAAAAAGAATGCTTTTATTAGTGAAAACTACAAGTGACAAGGTTTAAAATATTTAGAAGTTAGGGGAAGTCTGGGGATAGGGAGCATAAGGGGGAAGGGAGCCCAGTGGACTCTGGTAGAGGATTATGGGGGTTTTGGTGGTGGTGTGGTGTGGTAACACACATCTGAAGAGGTGAGAACCAGTGCCTCTGAATCATATACGGTATTGTAAAAACAGTTACCTCAATAAGAAGTAATTTTTAAAATAACAAAAATTAGAATATATATATATAAGTTAATACTAGAAATATTCAAGTGCTTGTTGGCCTGTTCTGTGGTTACAAGCCTCTTGTGGCTACATCTGTCTTTGGCATGTTTTTGGAATGTTTAGGAGGTGTACTTTTTTTTGATAGCTATGGCCTGACAGTTTTATAATTTCTTATGTTATGGGAACTACTGATTCCTTGTAAAAAGCATAGCCCACAAGTAACAAAAGAAGCAAGGTTATAAAAGTATGCACTTGTTATCATAGTAATAATATGGTATGGTGTCTTTAAAAACTACAGTCTAAACCTCTCCACCTAAAACATTCAGTGTTGTAAATCAACATTACCTCAGTAAACACAATTTGAAAAAACAGCAATGTTTTCAAGTAGGGCTGAATTTTTTTCATTTGTGAATAGAGAAACTAAAACTTCATTGAAAAGATTAATGTTTGTCGATATTTATGCAGCCAAGCTAATTTTGAGTTAAAAAAAAAAAAAAAGCACTGAACTGGTAATCAGTAGTCAGGTGCTATAGGAAGTGCATACAGCATTTTTTAAGAACATCTGGAGAAGGGAATCATTCAAAGAGCTGCCTTGACCTCCTTAAAGCTCCTAAGAAGCACTACATGCTAATTAAGTAGGGCTTATCAGTTCCATTTTACAGATAAGAACTGGATTTAAAATGGGTTTAGTAACTTGCAAAAGGTAACACATTTGTAAATAACTAGTGTTACTTTGTAGATCTGTTACTTAGTGGGCCTTACACTCAGATAAGAGGTGGGCTTAAAGCTGTAATCTGATCATCTTCTGTTCTTCATCATTATGCAGACTGCCTTATAGAGTCCAGGAGGTCAGCCCTATTCTGCCTCTAATTTACTAGATGAGCTAGTGCAAGTCATTTGTCCTGTAAGACTGAAGGAACAGTATCTTTTTGTCTGATAGGGTTGTCCTATGATTGTTGTGAAGGATGGCAAAGCAAGTCAACTGCAGGATACATATGAGTAGTTACTGCATTATATATGAATTTTATTAAATGCTATCTTTAAACTAATTCTTTAGTTTCTGCAGCCCAGTGAAAAATCAAGTGTGTCATTTAGCTTGTCTGGAAGATTCATCTGGGACTTGTACACCATATCTAGGAAAGAAAATGAGCATGTTTTTCAATTTTTTGGTTTCTGTTGTAGTAATGGTTTGAAATAATTAAGGCAGAATTTTTTTTTAATTTTTTTTTTTTTAAGATTTATTTATTTATACAAGAACCGGGGTACAGTCAGAAGCGCGGGAGGGTGAGAGAATTCACCAGAACCAGAGCGGGGAACAGAACAGGCAGACTGATGAAGTACACTGCTGAGGGGAGCAGTGGGCGCAGCAGGAGATGTCTGCACACCATGTGAGACCCTCCCCTGGGGCCGGGGCTCGAACAGGGCGCTGCAGAGGCTGAGGGCAGCCTCACAACCCAGTGCTCAACCACTGCGCCACCAGGGAGGCCCTAATTAAGGCAGAATTTTAAACTATTATTCATCCTTTTGGAGTCTTAAGGAACTTTACTTTTTTTTTTTTTTAATCTGGACATCCAAAATGAGCTCATCAAAGTTGTGTTCTCATATTGTGTTTGGATCCCTTCCAAAGATTTGGAGAGGGACTTCTGAAAGTCTTTATATGCTCTCCTCTCTGGAATAGAAAATGGGACATTTTTATCAGACACAACTCCCTTTCTTCTAAGGGGTAGATGAAATTTTTTCTGCCTACTTACAAGTGCCTTATTCTTAAGGGACCTATGGATGCTAACATCTAAAGATCTTCCACATGAATGATGCAGGGGTTGTTTCTGATTAGACTGGGTTTCTCTCTGGACATGGTCATTGTTTCTAGGTTAATTTGAAGATCTACTTCACCTTCTCAAACTAGCATAGCTTCCACCCAGCATTAAATACAAATTAATTTTTGTTTTTGGTAGTGAATAAAGGAAATGAAGAATTGTAAAATGTAATCTGTCTTTAGTTTATAGATTCAAGCAAACTACTACATTTCAAGAATCTTATATAGGCCTTTGAACCTTCTAATGGTTGATAAAAGATCTTAGACATTATATTTTCCTAGACTATGCAAATTATATTTTTACAACAAAAATCACTAAGAATTTTCTTAAATCCAATCTGATTGATAAAAATAGGAAATACCGTTTTTTGGGGGTAGTGAAAGGTGGTACCCATTTGTTATGTTGATCCTGACAAGAAGTCTCAACTGTTAACACTTTGAAATTTCTTCTATACCAGGAGGAAAGCTTGGGACCCTTTATAATGGTTATATAAGGTTACTGAGATCTAAGAAGTGCTATATTAATATTTTGTAGACACGGATAATACATTAAATTTGTATAGCTCTTTATTTTGTAAAATTTTTACGCAACCATTATATTACCTTTGTAGTAAGTTATGCTCTTATTTCTACCCATTTATGCATATCCACTCCTACAAATTTTCTTAAATAAAACTTTTTTCTTTAGAATATCATTATTTCCTTTTTAGTAATGTAACTTTTTTTGGTTTATTGTGTAATGATGAAAATAATTTGTAAATTAAATGTGTTGACTCAGAATTTGTATATTGACATTTTCATAAAAAGTATGTCTAAACGTTAGAAACAGGATCCTGGAAATCTTACATAGCCTATTTTTTTATGATACATATGCCATGATTGCAAAACATTGAACTTATTGGAAGTCCAAACTCTAGTGACATATAACATATATTTTTCCAAAACCAATTACCTTATTTGTAACATTTCCATAATAAGTTTTGGTGAGAATAATGAATAATAATGACTTGTATCAATATAAACTATAACTGTAAATTATTATTATCAGAGCCTTTTGTTTATTTGTATTTTTAAGCATCCACTTTTTATTTTTTTAATTATCATATAGCAAAATTAACTTCCTATTTGGCTGTATGAATTTTAACACTAGTACAGTTTCAAATAGCCATTGTTAAAGTCATCAAATTCTTAAAATTGATAACTGTTTTTTGATGTCAATTAAGATAATATATAAAAGGATAATACTTTTGCAAAATCATAATACATGATTTACAGAGTTTATTCTTCTAGTGAACTAAGCTTCTGGGTCTACCCAAGTGTTTTTCTAGTAAATGTTTAATACAAGACTGCATCACAAAACCATTTAAGCTTGAAGAAAAACTGCCCTTTATATCTAGGATTTAGAGAGAATTAACTTTAACTGAATACTATCAAGTATTAGATGAAAAACACATGCCAATTACCTGAAGTCCATTTGTGCTGACTAAAATTGTTCCTCCACGCTATAGATAATTTTCTTTTCCAGAAAGGCAGAATATACAGGTGCATTTTGTTTGGTTTGAAGAATATTAAATTTATGTCAATATATTCTGGAAGTCACTTAAATGTGGTCACCAACTCTGAAGTGTAATTGACCTGTTCTATTTGGCGTGCACGCGCGTGTGTGTGTGTGTGTGTGTGTTTAATGGAAATGATCAAATAATTTATATATATATATGATAAATATGTTAATGCCAGTAGAGTGGGAAAAAAAGGAAAGAAATTCATTTAAGTCATGTATCATTGTTTTTTGCTATCTTAAATAAGCTTTAAAAACATGGCATGCATGTTTAACCACCAAATTTTGATTAGTTTATTTCAATCCACTTTTTCCCTTTGAGATAGCTAGGATTTTTAGCAAAAAAGGAATTTTTTAAAAATAAGCACTTCAGGGCCTCCCTGGTGGTACAATGGGTTGAGAACCCCGTCCAGGGAGGTGACCCACATGGCACAGCAGACCTCTCCTGCCTCACCTGCTGCTCCCCTCAGTGGTGTATTTCAGTACATCTGCCTGTTCTGTTCCCCACTCTGTCTCTGGTGAATCCTCTCACCCACCGCATCTCTGGCCTGCATCCCAGCTCTTGTATGCATAAATAAATAAATCTTAAAAAAAAAAAGTACTTCAAGTGCATAGAAAATTGTGGATAATAATAAAACAAACAGTTATGTATCCATAATCCATCATTAACAAATGTTAATACTTTAACAGGCTAGTGTTTAAATAAAATAGGTTCAATGTAGACTCAGTAAGGAGGCTGTGAACTATTTACCAACCACACTTGCTGGTCTTTTAGCTACCTAAAATCACTTAGTAGAAACTGGCTGATTTCCCAGCTAGGTAAGGTAAGAAAAACTTTTTTTGTGGAAATGAACCTAATTCAGGAAAGTAAATTACTTGAAATCTTTGAATAATAAATGTTACATTTTTTTCAATTCCATAGCTCGCTTTAGTCTTCTGTATCAACTTGCTTATTAATTAAAATCGTTTTCCAACTGTGGGAGATTTGTAAAGTCAACTTTGACAGAAAGAAACTATAAAAGGTACAACCCTGGTGGTATACAGCATGTGGGTGGAATTCTGTAGATCAGCATCGTCTGCCCTGAGCTACTGAGTTTTCCCAAACCAGTTGGCACTAAGTCATTTTATGGGTGTGTTTTTTTTTTTTATATTCTCTTATAGGTTAAAAAGGAAATAGAGGTTTATTGCAAAAAATACAAATGAGCATAAAGAAGAAATTAGCTGTTATCCCACTGTTAACATTTTCTTTTATATACTTCCTGTCCATTTTAAAGCATATACGTAAGTTTTATTTTTACAGAAATTAATAATGGTATTTTGTAGCCTGTTTTTACCACCTAATATATTGAGAATATACTTCCATGCTATAAATATTCTTTCATACTTATTGTTTCAAATTGCTATCTGTATTTCATTACATAATTGTACCATCTTTTATTTAACCCAACCCTTATTTTGGGCTTTGGGTTTTTTGCTTGTTGCATTTTTTTATTTTTGTATTACAGACAGTACTATGATGAACACCCTCTTAATTAATCTTTACAATTCTCAGGACTTTTAGTACAAACTCAAAAGTGGGATTTGATGAATATTCTCAAATTGCCTCTCAGCACGTTGGACTGAAGTTCCTCCCAAGTGTATATTTTGTGCATAACTAACAGAATTGTTGTAAAAGTTGTATTTAAAAAGGATGATTATTTTTATGTTCAGAGTGATATAAGTTATTTCTTATAGGTTCACAAGATGTTGCTCATGATCTGGATACACTAAAGAAGCACAAGGTAAAAATGAAAGCCCCTGGTCTGGCACCATGTGTTCTCATCGCTACATTTATTTAGGAAAAACTCTTGGTCCAATTTAAAGTTTAATTGGTAACATACTTGGCCATCACTGGTTGTGAACATTATTACACTTAGTTAAAATATGTTGATTTGTAATCTATCTTCTTTCAGTCTCCCTTCATGTATCCTCACGATTCTGACATTGGAAGCTGGTCTTCTTTCTTGTTTCTGAAGTTCCTCTTCCCTTCTTCCAGCTCACATACCACTTCTTCCTAATGCCATTTCCTCTCACCTCCCCTCCCACCACTGACTTCAACATTATTCAAAAAAATTTTTACATCTGCTATTTTGTTAAGCACTGTTTTAGACACATGGAATTACTCTGCTTACAAGAATGCTAGAGGTTCTTATTCACATGAAGCTTATGACTGAAGGGCAGAGCAGGGGAAAAGGCACATAAAAAGCTACATACAGTGTATTGTGTGCTGTGATGGTGTAGTGCAACATGTTATTTTAGTGTATATGAGATGGTGCCCTTAGCCCATGTTCTGTTAGATTGGGATGAGTTGGGGTGGATTGGGTATAGGAGGGTCAAAGTTTTTCTGGTCAAAGTGATATTGAAGGAAGTGCCAAGAAAATTAGAGGCAGTGTGACCCAAAATACAGGTACCAGAAAACCTTATAAAAGATGTGGGAGCATATTGTTCTTTGTAATAAGGCAGAGTGGGTGCGGATATAGGCAAAGTAGTTAAATTGGATGATAAGATGTGCAAGCTCCTATGATAGTTTCTCTTTTTTGTAAGTAAGTGAGGTAGATTTCTTAGGAGTCTGGGTATAGAAGGAACTTTTATCAAACAAGTGCTGGGAAGGTGGACTGTGTCCCATAGGCTGAATAGAAAAGGAGTGGTGGGCCATGAAATGTAAGCTGAGGAAGTAAAGCCAAGAGGCAGCTAAAATTAGAAGATAGATAATAGAAAGATCAAAGCATTGATGGTTCTTGTGAGGGTTAGTGGTACTCATTTAAAAGAACTGGAGAGATAAGAACAGTATTAGAACAGTATTAGAGCGAGAACAGTTTGGAAATTGGCCTCAAAGGAGTATGATTGAAGTGCATGAGGCAGTCAGGGAACTGATAAACTCAAATGGAAATTGATGTCACCCAGGAAAATGGAAGAACTTGAGGTAGGATTCAGCCATGTGAGACAGGTGCTCAAGGAACAGAAGGAATAATCAGTTTATATGAACCTCAGTGAGCAAGGATTTTTACTGGAGGGTATAAAAGGAGCAGTTTGGAAGAAGCAAAAGAATGCACTCATGTCACTCACCCACAAGAAAAATGGGATGCTAAGCTCCTTTTTAGGTGTAGGAGATGAAATGATCAAGCAGTAATGACCTTCCTGTTAAAATAATGATACTCTGAGATGAGAATATGTTCTTTGATGGCATCAAAATAAGGCAATGAATGAGAGGAGTGGCAAAAGTAAACATGTATCATAGTAGACCTTTTTGATGCTCTCATATTTCAACTGAGACCTTTGTACTGAATCAGCCATGCTTTAATCAGGAGAAGAGCACTTTACTCTGAGAGAATAGCAAATGTGAAGCCTCTCGGGGTAACAGGTTCAGTTATCTATTTGTCCCTCTGATACCATAATGCTTTGTTCTTCTCCCATAGCACTTAACATTTCTGTTTTGTATTAAACATGTTTTCCCCTCTTTTATTATTTAACAAACTTCTAGAGGATTAGAGACATTGTTCTACTTATCTTTGTTGCCCACAGCTCTAAGAAAAAAAATTTGATTGAATTGAGACTGAAAATTTTATGTGATAAACACTTGCAATTAATTTCTCCAAGGCAATAACTACTATCTTATTAACAAATATATGTTAACTTCTCAACTTGCTTGTGTTTAAGCTTGACTTTCCTTGTTTTGTTTTGTTTTGTTTTAAATAATTCCTGCCTGACAATAAGAGATACAGCCCTGGAACTGAATAAGGGAATGAGAATTCTGCACTTCCTTATAGAAACCCAATTTGTTCAATTTTCTAACATAAATAGAGCAAGTTTCAAAAATTCTGTTTATACTAGTTAATGAATATTTTACAGGGAAAAATGAATAGAAAGATTGATAAATTTGTTCATTGACAGATGTTTTATTATCTGTCCCCTCTTATGATATACTAGTTCAAATTCAGTTTCAGCCTGGTGATTTGAACCAATATCCTCCCATCAGTGTGCACACAATTCTGTTAGATGCCCAGGGAAAGACAAGCTAAATTATGCAGTTGAATAGCGGGTTTCTAAAAAAAACGTTAAAGATGCTTCAAAACAAATCTATTGATTTAGATGCATGGCACATTTCAAAGGGACCTCCTAGGATTTAAGTAAAGTACAGTAACTAATAGAAATGAGGATCATTTCATAAGCTTCTCTAGGAATTTCATTTTAATGTTTATATTGATTTAATAGTTACTTTATTTATGAAATACTCATTGAGTGACCGGGTGTGCCCAATAAAACACTAAGAAGATAGAAAGTAAGTGTAATGTAAAACAGTCTAAATTATCTATTGTAGCATTGTTTAAAATAGCAAATTATTGTAAACAATCCATGTGCACATCAGTAGGGTGTTGGTAAAATGAACAATAATACACCCACAGCAAAGAATACTAGATAGGTATAAAAAGAGCACCAAAAAAGCCTCTCTATATACTGATATGAAAAGATCGCTGAGGCATATTTAAGTGGACTGGGGGAGAGCATTGTCTTTGTGTAAGAAAGGGATTATATTAAATGTTTGCATAAAGATACTCTGTAAGAATATACAAAAATTACTGTTAGGTTGGGAGAATAAGGAATGGATAGAAACAGAATGAAAACAAGATTTTTAAATTTTTTTATAATGTCTTGATTTTTTGAGCCAGTTCAAAATTAAATGTTACTAAAATGGAAATAACCCCTAAATATGAGGATTAAGTGCATAATAACTTGTATGCCTATTGCCTACTAAGTGCTCTATAAAGAGACTGTTCTTATTATCCCTACTATGTAGGGAATTCCAAGGGCATTCATCAGTAGGACCTCTGTAACTGCATTTTGGAAGTATGCTTGACAACTAGCTGGATTTTAGCTTAAATTCCCCATCACCACCACCTGTGACTTAGTATGAATTTATTCAGTCATGACACATTCACTTTGCATTTCCAAGCAGCTAAACAACCAGGCATTGAGTAGTTTCATAATCCACAATATTTGTAAAGCAAAACATGTTTTCCCAAGATTATAATTTGGTCTTTTCCATAATTCTGTGATACATAGAGGAAGGGAAGGAAAATATATATTTTCCTGTAAGTGATCAGACCTGATTCCTGGTCTTTTGGGAATGTAGAATATAATTGTAAAGCTAAATTAAGCAGTATTATAAAATAGTATATAATTAAGGGCATAATCATATAATCCTGGCTAAGCATATACTGGGAGTGAGTCACTTGTCATAGATAAGACTTAACTGGAGAAAGCAAGATATTTCAGACTTCATCTTCTAAAAGTTGTCTTTCCATCTTTCTATCTTTTGCCATCTAAACAGTCTCTTCTAACTAGACATTTCAGTTTTTCTCTTTCTTCTCTAAGACAGTTAGGTTAGAAAGCGGCCTGATAGTAAATGACTCTCTTCATGAGGCCTAGCTTCCTCAGTATGTTAACACTCTTTTGGTTTCAAACCACAGAAACCGGAGCAAGGAAAGAGAATGTGTGTAATGATATAGTGGGGATCTCCAGAACCCAAGAACAGAGGCTATACCAGAATGGAAGACCATCTGACACAGCCCCTTTCTCCCTCTGGCATCACAGCCCCTCTCTGCATACCTATTCTATTCTTTGCACTTGGTGGTAGAAGCAGTTTATAAAAAAAATGGCTGTCTTGAAGCACTCAAGTTTGTGAATCATTCTGGCTGTCTTTATCATCTACTTTTAAAAGTTCTAAAGGTAATCTGATTAACGTAACTTCAGTCAGGCATCTACACAAACACAGTCAGTTGTTCTGTGGGGAGGTATGCCGGAGCCATACCTGTGAGGGTGGTGGGAGCAAGAGAGGCAGAGCTGGGCTAGACAAATACTTTAAAATATCTATGAAATACATGGAAATACTGAGACAAGTCCCAAGCTAAGAATAAGAGAATTAGAATAGTGAGAGGCATTGTTATGACAAGAAACAGTGACTCATTTGTCTGATCCCTTTAGCCTTTGGATCCTCTTAGTGGACTTTGTACATGGCTTCTTCCACATGCTTGGTGCACTGTCAAAAGGGGTTCGATTGCACAATGCTTGAATGCTTAAGTGGATCACATGAAAGAAAATCTTCTGTGACCATCCCCGCTTTCAACCAGACTAATCCATCAGAATGTCTGGATGTGAGGTCTGGTGACAATGATATTTTTAAAAAGCCCCGCAGGTGATTCTAATGTATAGTCATACTTGAGAATCATTGTATTAATAAAGAATATGAAGGAAAAGAGGGAAATAATCATTGAAAGGGAAGTTATATGCAACTGGTGCACTCTTCTACTTGAATTTTTATATGGACAGTCTCTGATTATTTGAACAGATGATTTAAGCACTTTCTGTGTTAAGTGCACTGGTCAAAATGCTTACTTACAGTGGTGGGTAAACTGAACATGGTCCTTACCCTTACAGTTTCTATTATATGAGGGACCCAGTTTCTAAGTGGTAAGTCTATAATAGGACCGGTATAATAGTACTATAGTATAAGGTACTATGAAAGCACTTCTGATGAGGGATGATATAGTCAGAAAAGGGTTCATAGCGGAAGTATCATTCAAGTGACTAAGTACTTAAATTTTTTATTATTCTTGTTATAGATCTCCAAATACCAGACTTATTAATAATTCATGGGAATTTTTAAAAAATCATCTTTTTTTTTTCTTTAAGGTGACTCATGTTCTCAATGTTGCATGTGGAGTTGAAAATGCTTTCGTCAGTGACTTTCTATATAAGAACATTTCTATACTGGATCTGCCTGAGACCAATATCCTGTCTTATTTTCCAGAATGTTTTGAATTTATTGAACAAGCAAGATTGAAGGTAAGTTTTGTTTTGATTCACAGGGCAACAAAAGCAGAAATTTAAAACTATGGAGCCATCACCCAGTCTTTATTCTTTTTGTGACAAATATCTCAAGAACCATTATGAGATCTTCTCTTCAACAGTATTTTATTATTCGTACAATAATTTAGTTCACCATTTTCTCTTTTCTCAATGAGATTTTTACTTTTAATACTAAGTTAGTTTCTCCTATGCCAATCTGAGAAAAGTTAGAAGATAAAATTCACCACTTGCTTAATTTTCCTATGTATATACATAGCTTTTCTTTGATGATTTAAAACCATCTGTCCTCTAACCAGTTTGCAAGATAATAAAGTGGGTTATGGAATAGAGACTGCTCTAGGCCTGCTAATGTATTTATAAAGATTAACATGCATTCATTTTCATGACTTAGTGAGGGATTGTGAATCTATGTATTTTTAGCACTAGAATTTTAGGAAATTATGAGGACAAAACATATATTGCATACTGAAATTGTATGAAAATGCTGATCAGGAACTGTCTTTGGTTTTCTGATTTTAGAGGACCTGCAGACAATATAATACTTCAATCTTGGTATTGGAGCCAAGACAACACTTTCAGGCAGGGCTTCTGGGTTGACTATTACTGAAAATTATACTTTGAAATGACATTTTCAGTCATTGTGTGATTTTTACAAAATGTATGTGAGATAACTAGACAGGAATGTACAAAACCCTCACAGAGAGAAGTTAACTCTCCCTGGAGCACCTAACAATTCAAAACTGTTAAGATTAGAATCCAAATTAAATTCTATCTAATGATCATATTCACTCCTCCCCTTTTTCTCTTCCTTCTTTCTTTCATTTAGTAATATTTATTGAGTGACTGTGTGCCCAGCACTGTCCTAAGCGCCATTCTCTAGATTACCTGGGAAATATAAAACTCTCCTACCATTCAACTTGATTTAATAGCAGAACTTAGATAAAAGAAGAGAAAGGTTTTCTACTTCAGAGCCTGATATTGGCTACTCTGTTCTTTCGTGAAAAATTTCTCAGGCTCTAGATTGCAACATTCCAATGTGGTATTTAAATAGCGTTAAAAATAAAAATGATAATGTTTCTGTATTAGCTGCTCCTCTAAGGAGATACAGAATATGCCTTAGATGGTAAAGGGAAGATGTTGACATAGTCCATATGCATGTAATAGTACATGTGCCATGTAAAAAGTGGAAAGGATAATAATAGTTAATTAAAATGCCATCTCACTTGGATTAAAAAAAAAAAAAAAAGAGCCTGAGACAAAGATTCATTTGAAAGGTAGTCCTGAAGCAGTGAAAGTGAGAAGGAAGGCAGTGATTCCCAGTAGGATGAGAAGCAATACAAGGTGATCCATTTACCCTGCTGAGCACAACTTCACAGTTAGCTGACAATGACAAAGGCTCACTTGCTCTACCACTTAAAACATCTGGGGCAGAGAGTATAGATGCTGGGAAGGAGGAAGGAGAAATTGCATGTCTAGCTTTCTATCACCTCTTACTTTCCACTGGTCAAAGTTTACCCCATTGTAGATAACTGATCCCACAATTCCATGTTGTAACACTCTACCCCTTCAGCAGCCACCTTAAAGCTAAACATAATGCCCTGTGCTGTGATATTTTCCATTCAAATTCAGAACCACCAAGAGAATCAAGAATTCAGGGTATATCTGTCTATGCAGAGGCTGCCATGGGGGGAGAGCCAGACCATCTTAGGCAAACAAAATTCAATAGGTTTAAGGGGAGCGGTTGGCCACAGAGGTAGCAGCTGAGATGGAGCAAACTGAGGCTGCATAAGATAAAGGCACCAAGACAATCTGAAGAGGTGTATAAAATGTTTCTGATATAAGATGTATTCAAATTTCATAATATGTCCTAATTTCCCAAGCTTTATGTTTCATATTGGGATCCTAGTCTCATCCAATATTTCCTTACTCTGAATACTTTCTTGTTTAGAGCAATACATACTTAGTTTTAGCAATAGAATTCTTGAATTTTCTTCATTTCTTCTAGAAGAGGTCTTTTCCTAACTTAGTGTCTATTGTGTATGCAACTATTGTTAAATCTAATTACTCAATGAATTTCATATTTCAAAACCAGCTTTCTAGGCCCCCATTTATTGTTTTTATCTTTTTATATATAATTGCCAAATGGAATTTCTTCCATTTTCCAATATCCTTCTTCATTTCTCTCTGTACTTACAAAATTCTGTTTGGTTTCTGTCCTTTCCCCATTCCTCATCATCATTTGTTAGGTTTCTGCCTAAAGTGCCGTAAATACAGTAAAGTTTTTGCTGTATTGTCTCAAGACTTCTTTTTGGACCTAGATTTACTTTGCCTCAATTTTCCTGTTTATTAGTATGAAAATGTGTATATGATATACCTTATTTTTTATAAGATGTAATTTTTAAAAGCATTATCTAAGCATTCCATGTTATCTATAGAAAAGATATCTATAAAAGTGAAAACCAACCTGGGGCCACCCTGGTGCGCAAGGGGTTAAGATGCAGTACTATGAAGCTATCTGCAGCCACAGCAGCATGAGTTTGATCCCCGACCAGGAAAGTGACCCGCATGGCGCAGTAGACCTCTCCTGTCTCCCCCACTGCTCCCCTCAGCAGTGTATTTCAGTGAATCAGCCTATCCTGTTCCCCACTCTGTCTCTAGTGAATCCTCTCACCCCCCCACACCTCTGGCCTGTATCTCAGTTCTCGTATGCATAAATAAATAAATATTAAAAAAAAAATAAAAACCAAACTATTTGCATCAGTTGGCATTTTGATTTTATTTAAAAGACCCCAATGTGGTCTCAAATTAATCTGTCAACAAATACTAATTATTTATTCTGAGAAGATGTGACAGGTATACTGTCCTCAAGGAGCTTGTAGTCTAGTTGAATAACACATGAATATAACAACATGGGAACAAAACAAACTATATAAAATGGAAAAGTAATATTTATTCTCTGCCCTTAACAAAATGGTGATTTGAATTTTTGACAGAACACTTTCTCAGAATTAAAGAATAAAACTAATTTATTTACTTGGTAAACTCTTGTGGAATACCTACTATGTGCCAAGAATTGTATGAAGTACTATGCATGCAAAGATGACAAAGATATTTCTCCTGTCCTTGTCTGACTCAGAGAGAGGTAGGCGTCTTAGAACAGAAGCCTGAGATAACTGGATCAAGAGGAGGAGCAAAGAGCTTGCAGCAAAGATCAGCAAGTTCCAAAGAAAAATTGCTTTGCAAATTAATTGTCACTATTGTTCTAGCAAGTGAATATAAAGCCAGTAATTCTCCTGGAAATACTTTCAAGGACAATGTGATACCCAGTGAATAATAAAAACATAAATAGGTAAATTCAAGATTGCAAAAAGCAGAAAAGTGACTGTTTTGTAAAGAATTTGAGAAAGAAGAACATACTAACATTATTAAACACTAGCTGAAACTGGATGTATAATACTGAACATAAAGCTATTTTCATTTTCAGAGGCTATTTCAAAAGCTATTTCAAAGCTATTTTCATTTCAAAGACATGGATCATAGATAGATATGATTAGAATGCAGTCAAGAAATAGTAAAAATGACATTGAAGGGTATCTCTTATTCAGCTTATAATTTCACGTTTCTTTGGAATAACAAGTTTGTTTTAAGCAGTTTCAGTAGCTATTATAATTTTAGAATATCTTAAGTCTCACAAAATAGGCTATTATATAAAGTTTAAAAAGTTCTATATATGTAGAGTATATATCTGTGTTTGTATAGAAACAGCCAACCTGGGTCAGCACTGTTCCATCAGCTCTATCACGGTCATTATTAATGCAATATTGCCCCCATCAGCACTGGCCTTGCACTGTGTCCCTTTTCACTTCTAAGATATCATCTGCAAGTTACCTGAAACGTTTTTATTTCTTGACCTCATGCTGGTATCTAATTACCCTTTCCACTTAAATGTTGTCTAGACCTAATTGTGTCCTCATTTACTACCTCATAAGTTGAAGTATTTAAGTTACTTCCCTCCAGGATAAAGTAGATCCAAGGGTAGAATATTTTTTTCCTTGCTGATCATTGTATACATAGATTTTAAAGCAGTAGCCTTAGTTTCATTTTTGGGAGCATTGTGTATTTGGAGTGTCTCTGGCTTTCTATTGAGTTTACCATTATGGTTTTACTTATATTTCTACGATCCTTGCAATTTTTCCGCTTATTTATGAACATGTGGCTACTAAGTTACTAAATTATTATGTATACTTTACTGGATTACTTCAGTTTAATAATAGACAGCGTTTTAGAATTTCAAATAAACCTTCAAAGCAGATTATTTTGATAATTGAATAAATTGATAAATGAATATTTTTATTTTATAAGTTTAACTAGTATAAGATGTGCAATCAATTTAACAATCCTTACGTGAGTAATGAAGATTTTTGTTTGACATTTTTGCAGAATGGAGTGGTTCTTGTTCATTGTAATGCAGGAGTTTCCAGGGCTGCTGCCATTGTAATAGGCTTCTTGATGAATTCAGAAGAAATCTCATTTACCAGTGCTTTTTCTTTGGTGAAAAATGCAAGGCCTTCTATATGTCCAAATGCTGGTTTCATGGAACAACTTCGTACATATCAAGGTGGCAAAGAAAGCAATACATGTGACAAAAGGCAGGTATTTGAGGGGCACAGCAGTTCATGAGTTACATTCTAGCAGATGGTAGAAAGCTGTAATTTCTAAATTGGCATCTACAGGCACCTTTCCCTTTCTTTAGAGAGTAGACTAGTAGGAATGTCCTTTTCTCTTGCCTTTTTCAAGTGGAAATGGAAGTCATTTGTCCTTAGCTAGTGTATAAATAGATTTTAAAATTATGTTTTCTTTGTTAATGTAATGTGTGATTAAATACTTCTTTGATTTGCCAATAGAAAAATAACAGTGTATTATCAGTAATTGATTTCTGTAGAAGAAAATGTTTTAAATTTAAAATCTATATTCGGGCATGGAAAGATTAAATTAGTTCATAATGACTTATGGTATTTTTCTATTCTGGTAACTGTTGAAAATGGAAATACTACTAGACCTAATATTTCAGAGGGAGGTAATGTCTTTGTAAAGAATTTAAGACTGAAATCTAAAACCTTAAACCTCCCAAAAGAGGTAACCAAAATCTGAAGGTTTACATAATATTTATATAGTGGTTACAATATTCACAGAATTTTTATGTCCATTTCTGAAAATATATCCACTTTTCATTTTGATTTTTTAATTTAATTCTATTGCTTGTATGTGTTTTTTATTAAAAAAATTTCTGCATAGATGTTCTGTCTGACATTATTGTGTGCTTGTGGTTCTTTGTCAGGTGGTATAGTCTCTAACATTGTACACTTTTAATACTGCCCCCTAACATTCTATTTTTGGGTCCCATGTCATAATTTTTTGGTCACCTTGGATCTGTTGGAAAATGTTTTATGCTGAAAGATCATTTTTAGATGTGATTTGTTCAGTGATCTGTTTTCTAATTTGGTATTCTACCAGAGGTCATATTTTAAAGGAAAAGTTTATGGTTTTGTAGGAAATTTTCAATATTGTTAGGATAATTAAAATCATTGCAATTTTATCTCTGACCATCTCCAAATGATGTGGTTTTTTTTTTTCTGTTTTGCCTCCATGTTGGCAATACTGAACTCTCTACAAAATGTGTGTGTGTATAAATTCGCTTAAAGATATTTTTTGAGTTATCCAGGATAAAACATACTTAAAATTAATTACAGTAATTAAAATAGAGCTTTAACTAAACTTTGAAGTAGTCTTTCATGATTGAGAAAATATTATTGCCATCTAGATTTCATTAAAATCCCGAACGCTTCCTAAATACACGTTATAGAGAACTAACATATTCCTATACAAAGTTAGAAAGTGCATATTAAGTATATCTGTGCATTTGCGAAAGCAGGTTTTCTTATGTTGTCATGAGCAAAAATGTAGAAGTGACAAATGCAAATTATCTTTCAGAATTATTATAGCCTGACAAGATGCCATCACAGGCAAAGCTATGAACTTCGCTTCCATTGAGAAGCAGCATAAATATGATCAGCCTACTGCTTGCAGTTGATCAAGGCAGACAGAATACCCTTGGATATGAGACTGATATATAATGTTGTCTTTATGGTCAGTGTTGCTAAGGGTTTGCCTGGTCAACCTTCTATTCACTTGAAATTATTTATTTAAATACATATTCTTTTTCTAGGTGTTATTTAGTTTTCAGCCATTTAGTGTTGTGACATAAAGTATTAAATAGAATTTATTCATCATGGATAGTATATTATTTACAACTCTGTAGTTTGTATGCTTAATTGCCACCTGTAGGGATCTGGTTATGGTACAAGCTCTATAGAAATGCATTAAACATCAATTTTGTTTTATCTTAAATGATAGTAGTTTGCTGTGTCTTAAATAGATTAATGAATGAAATTTAATTCAGTCTTTTAAATTAGAGGAACTATGTAAGGTAATGGTGGGTCGTGTATATATAGTATGTTTATTGCGCTTTTCAAGGATGTATCACTCTGTTACACCTAGTTTTTTTTTTTTAAAACTTTATCATTATTCTCAATCTATAATAATTATAAATATGTAATTATAAATTAATAATTTGTATACAAAAATATGGGTTTTATTTTGGGGGGAGGATACTTATTTCAAAAGAATTTTTGCTTCTAATTGTATGTAGATCTCTCCACTATTTTTTAAACAGAGGAAGAAATAAAAAATATCATTTGTTTTTAAACATTACAAAGGATAGAACATTCTTAGCAACCTGTAAAAGATGAGCAGAACAAAGGTAATGAAACATAGGATAAAAGTATTTGTTTGAAGTTAATATTTTTTAAATGTTTGACTAATTTTGTGTTTTAATATGGTTCTGTGATTAAATATAATGATATATAATTAATTTGAATTGAAAACCCAAGTAGTACTTAGATTTTTAGAAAACCAAAGAAATATCTTTCTTAGATTCTGTTTGGGCAAAATTTAAACCACTATACTAAAAATTTTGAGAATTTCAGCATAAATGAGTATAGTATTTAAAACTGTTATTACAAAATTTTTACTTTTGCTTCCTTCTTTTCTATTGAAACTTGATTGAAATGCATGAATATAACACTTGGAAAAATTTTTTGCATGTGATTTGAGAAATGTACTTTGATTCTGACAGATAATTTCAGTGGTGGTGGGGAAACCTGAACTGATCAATGTAATTATTAGTAACTCAGAGTTCAAATGTATTTAGAAAGTATCTCTCAAAGGTAACTTCTCTAGATATTCTTGAATATAGTGTATAACTCAGAGTATTGCCTTATAACCTCACCCAATGAGTTAGCTCAATTTACTATTATCTTTATAGCAAAACCACAATACATTTAAAAATAACAGAAATGTAGCACAATGAATTATCTGGTTGTGCCAGCTTACTCTAGTTGATTGTTTCCCCAAAGGAAACTGAACGTATTTAGTCACCCTTTAGTTGTTTAATTAAAGCCGTATGATTTTAAAATTTTATATTCTTGCAATACATTTGCAATTAACAAATCTATGGTTTATTTCCATTGATATATTTTTTTTAATAAATTTTATTTTTATATTCCCCATACAATTGCAATCCTCTTATTTTGACCCCCATCCCTCCCCTCCCCACCCCTACCCCCATAGAGTGTCTCTGGTTCATAGTTTTTTGTTGATTTTGATTTTCACTTTCTTATAGTTATTCATTTTCCTGGTCCCTTATTTAAGTTTTCTAGATTCCTGCTATGAGTGAGGCCATCCGGTATTTTTCTTTTTCTTTCTGGCTTATTTCGCTGAGCATGATCCCTTCCAGTGCCATCCATGTTGCTGCAAATTGCATGTGTTTATCTTTTTTGAATGCTGCGTAATATTCCATGGTGTATATGTACCACATCTTCTTGATCCAGTCATCTGTTTTTGGGCATTTGGGTTGTTTCCTAAGCTTAGCTATTGTAAACAGTGCTGCTATAAACATAGGGGTGCAGGTGTTCTTTGGAATTGATGTTTCTGTGTCCTTTGGGTAAATACCTCGGAGTGGAATTGTTAGTAGGTCCAGAAATCTCCACACAGCTCTCCATAGTGTTTGGACCAGTTTGCACTCCCATCTATTGATATATTTTAAAAATAACTTACAAGCTAAACTTTTCTAATTCAAAATAGCTTTGACTTACTTATCTTGTATGCATAATAATGTCCCTTTTCTCAGCATTGATATACTTTGACACAAGTAATAAATTTACTATTTCCCCATTAATATATTTGCAATTATTTGTTTTGAAAGACTTAACACTTATTTACTGTCAAATAAATCTGTGGATATGACACAAAATTATATGTTTTGGAATATAAATTAGTCTAAGGCCTATGGAGATTTGTTGCTTTATCTCAAGGAGTGAAAATCTAAAGATCATATAATTGGCATAAGGGTGGTTAAATTGGCAATGAAAATTCGTTAGAACTTCCTGGTACTTTAAATCAAGAGAAGATGCTGAATTATTCTCAGGTTAAACTATTGAATATTCTAACCATTAAAACACTGAAATGATTTGGACATACTCTGACATACACCCTTAATGTTCACACGTCATTGTTTCTCTGATCTACTCATTGCCAACTTTGACTCACTGTGATTTGTTTCAACCACACTGATCTGCCTATTCCATGAAATACAAAATCATACTCCACTTCATCACTTACTGTTCTTCTACTTAGAACATTTTCCCCTGAGAAACATCAGATATTTGCTCAAATGTTTTCTTCTTAGTAGAGCCTGGGCTGGTCATCTAATTTAAAATTGTCCCCATTCCCTCCCTGGTGGCGCAAGGGGTTAAGACACAGCCTGAGAAGCTGTCCACAGCCTCTGCAGCGCGAGTTCAATTCCTGGCCAGACAGGGAGCAACCCACATAGCACAGCAGACCTCTCTAAATACATCTGAAACCATGTCTGATGGTGCATGAAGGTAGTTTGCACATTCTAATAATTTGGAATGACAGGCCTAAAACAGACCTATATAGCATCTTAAGCGGTAGCAAATATGAATGCCCTTTTCTTAATTTTAAGTCTTCTACCAAGATTACTTATATATTTATTTTTGTAAAGATTTATTTATATATGCATACAAGAAGAACTGGAGTACAGGCCAGAGGTGCAGGGGGTGAGAGGATTCACCAGAGACAGAGTAGGGAGCAGAACAGGCACTTCTACTGAAATGCACTGGTGAGGGGAGAAGTGGACAAGGCAAGACAGGAGAGGTCTGTTGCACCGGTGTGGGCCAGCCAGTGATCGAACTCATGCTGCAGTGGCTGGTGAGATTATTTAGAAATTAAAAAGATGATCAAATAACCAGCAAGAGTATTCAGTAGATGGTATTTTGCTTTCACTCAAGATATGAAAAAACAATGGCTTGTCTGCCAATTACCAATTATTGTCTCTCAATTCCAAATCCACTCTTCTGCAAAAGGGGAGATAAACCATTGACCTATGTTTCCTTTGATGACTGGTATAATGACGAGCTTGGTTAGTAGAATGATGAGCTTGTTTCCCATGATGTTGGGAATCTTTCAAAAGAAAGGGCTTTTCTCTCTGGTTCTGGTGTGCCCTATAGACAGCTTTCTGCAGTACAGATGGCTTCCCGGGGGCAAGACTTCCGTAGTGCACATAGCTTCTCTATGCCTGGTCCTGTATTGCCATGGTTTCTGTGGCACCCAGCAGCCAGCAACTTTCCCTGGGAGTGATTTTATAGCAGAGTGCCTATGGTATTGACTGGTATTCTAGTGGGAAGATTACCAGCAAGTGCACTATCACAGAGTTATCTCTGTCATCCCGTGAGTCATGGCTTCATTCTGTGACAAAACCCAGTTTCAACCCTTGAACTCTCATTGCCAGGAGTAATGGCTGTTGTTTATATCAACTATTCCTATATTGTTTAGCATTCTCTTACCTTCTTTTTTTCCTAGCCAGTCCCTCACTACTACAATCCTATGATAGTTAATAAATCTTAATATTATACTTTCCCTCCTCAAATTACTGTGTGGTTTATCTTTCCTAACTAGACCCAAACTGATCAAGCCTGTAATTTCTAGTCAATTATTTTAGTAATTGTCCTTGAGGAGTATTTCTAGCAGCAGGTCAAGCTATATTAACAATCATGCAGATTATAATACAAATTTAAGTGGCAATTAATGTAGAAATAATTTTTGAGAGTCTAATAGAGTCAGTATAAATACTGCTCAAAACAAAACATATACACGATGATCCGATTTTGTTAATGACTACAGAGTGCTGTATCTGTCAAAGTTAAAAACCATACAAGTAGTGCAATTTGCTTTTGCTCTTAGGTTTTTTTTTTTTTTAAAAATTATTTATTTTATTTATACAAGTACTGGGTACAGTCAGAAGCACAGGAGGGTGAAAGGATTCACCAGAGCAGGGAACAGAACATGCAGACTGACGAAATACACTGCTGAGGGGAGCAGTGAGTGCAGCAGGAGAGGTCTGCATGCCATGTGGGACCCTCACCCGAAGCTGGGGATCTAACTGGCACTGCAGAGGCTGCAGGCAGCTTCGCAGCCCAGCGCTTAACCACTGTGCCACCAGCGGAGGCCTTGCTCTTAGGTTTTTTACCCACTCTTTCCATTTGTACGTCATTCCAACAGGAGAGGAAATTTGTTCCATTGCTTGTACTCTCTAGCTCCCACACCTTCCTTTCCACAGTTCATTTCTTTTACTAAATTTGTAAACTTAATAAATAATGGCTGTAATTACTGCTAATTGAGCTTCATGAACTGTAAGGAGTAAATGAAAACAGAATATGTCTGACCGCTAGGGATTTATTCTTACATAGCTTTTATAGCAGCAAATGTATTCTTTCCTGAAATAAGAGCCTGAGTTCTGAAGTTAAATTGTTTTAATTTAAATTTCTACTCTGTTGCTGACTTTGGCATGTTAACTTCTCTAAACCTCTTCATCAGTTTTTTAAAAGATTAATTGAGTCTTTTAGTGCAGTGCCTAGTGCATAGTTCTCAATAAGTATTAGTTACTATTATTGTAGTAGTAAAAGTACAGCAGTTACTAAGTTTGGATCAAGCTGGTAGCCTCATCTGATAAACCCTATCCCTTAGAAACCACTGAAAAGATACCTAATGCCTATATAAATCGTCAAGAGCATAGAAAAGCAAGAAAACAATGTCACCAATAAATTTTGAACAAATTCTGAAAGATAGCATGTGAGATTAGGGATAAAAGGAGTCACAATTTAAATTCGGTATACTTAGGACTACTCTGGAAGTAGAATCATTCCAAGATTAAACTCAGACTATGGATTGATATTGTCTGGAGCAGTGTGGGAGGTAAGGCTGTGTA